TTTTTTGTGGAGGGTGCTCTCCCTGGTTGATCTTTGCAGACCATTTAGGGAGGCCCTCCTGCCTTATGTAATGTTTGTGCTATGATATTTCTTTATTTTCAAGCATTAGTTTAAAAGTAATGCATTTTTTGTAAATTTATTATATATATTATATATAGTTCTCTTCGTCACTGGGAAATCATGGTTCAATGTTTTCATTGTGTAATAGCTCAAGTTGTTCATCTTCACTTGGTTCTCATGGTTCTGGGTCAATTGTTTTATCGCTAAATAGTAGTATACTCTGTGGTTATTGTTTTCTTGTTGGATCTTCCTGATTCTAGCTTTTCTTTTTTCTCTCTTTTTCTCTTTTCTCTCCATGTTAGTTGCGTCTAATTGCAGTGATAGTTCTGTTGGCATTGTATCTTTAGTCTGTTTTAATGGACTTTGTTTTTGTTTTGATGGCTGCTGTTGGTTCAGATTTACATCTATCGTTGTCTCTTGCAATGGTAGTTCTATTGGCAACGTACTCGTTTTAGGTTGGTTTATTGACAACTGTTGTTGCTTTGGTGGCTGTTGCTGGTTTGGTTTTTTCAATTGTTGTTCTTTTAGTTTTGATGGCTTTATTTGTTGTCGTTGCTTTGGTTCTCTTATTTGCTTTATTTGTCTGTCTTTAGCGCTTTTTGATTGAGTTGGTTCGATTGGATCTGTTCTTGTTGCTGTTTTTGTTGATGTTGCTTCAACAAGTGTTGTTGTTGTTCTTTTAATTTGGATCGCTAATTGTTTTATTTGATTGTCTTTAGCGCTTTTGGATCGAGTTGGTTCGATTTGATCTGCCTGTTCATGTTGCTGTTGTTACTGCTTCAATAGGTGTTGCTGTTCTATTTCATTCTCTGGACATTTTTTTTCAAAGTGTGTCCGATTTTTCCACATCTACTGCACTTTCTATGGAAAATGCATCCTTTGTACCATATCCTAACTAGAAAACCAAGTAGATAAAAGGCTGTTTTCACTTCTTTCAATTTTGTTTTTTTTTCAATCTCAAATATAATGTTTCCATTATATATGGATGTTCCTTGTATCCAATGTTGCCTTCAGTACAGGTATTTGGAATTTCTCTTCAAATCTCGCTTTAACGACATCCATTGGTATTTCGAGAGGAATATCGTTGAGGTACAGATTTCCTGTTTGCTTTTTAATTCTCCTTAGGATCGGATTGGGTTTCTTTACTGTAATTAGGAAATCTTTAATTCTTATTTCTTCATTTGGTAGTATGGTTGTCTTTCCTTTGAGTCTTATAATATATCCTTTTTGTGCATCTTTGTTTATGGAGTAAGTCTTCTCCATTGAGTTGGGATGTTGAACTTTCATTGCCATCATTACTTCTATTAACGTTGGAAAGTTTTCTTTTGGAATGTTCGTCATGTCTAAAAATTGGAGTCCCTCTGGATAATAGCATTCCAGGAACGTTCCCTCTTCTCTATTTATCCTTTTCACATCGAAATACTTGTCAATTTCAAATTTCTTCAAGATATTTGTGGCTTCCATCTTTCCCACTTGTAGTCCTGTGGGTAAAATTCACTTGTTATTTCTTTTTCCTGTGAGTAAAATTCACTTGTTTTTTTCTTCTTATTTGTCTTCACTATTTGTGTAAGTTATTTCGTAGTTTTTTTAGTTTATGATTAGAAAGTCGCTCATAACAAAGTTATTTTGTGCTCTTACTGGCTGTCTGCTTTGTCCTCGCCATTTTTAGATTTGACTTAAACTCTTAGGACTTAGAAGGGTACGTTCGCGAAACTCATTGTTCCTACAAAGGCGGAAATTACAGGCATTTCTCTTGCCATCCCCTCGCAGTATATGCGTTCTTATAACATTACAAAGATGAAAAGTAAGTAATCCTAGTTTTGACAAAGGATGAAGCAGTATGCGTTTCATTTCTCAACAAAGATAACCCCAGATGAATGTCGTAATCGAAAAGAGGTTAAGAAAACGTACAAAGGTACTCTTGGCGACATAATACCTGGTTTAGGAAGATAACGCCTGGTTTAGGACGAAGACCTATCAGAGACAGCACAAAAATGCAATATGTGTGCTTGTTTATACACGCATCAAGAATCTTGCACGATATACCCTCGCTGGATCATTAATCTCATGCAGATGGGTCTTAATTTGAGAAAGACGACTTCCTAGTGTGAGGAAAACATCGCTACCGCGGAACGAGTAGACGAGTTTGCCGCAAACCTTAACTTTGTACACATCAGTGTGGGGATATCAACTGAAACTAAACAAGACTTTAGTAGGTGCTATTAATCAATCTGAGTCAATGGCACTGGTTGAGATCGTAATATGAATCGGTTTTAGATGGTGTATGCAAGATGTTTTGATAAACCACATAGATCAAGAAATAAAACTGGCATGGGCGTTTTTTTATATACCAAAATGTTATAAAGGGGAGTTTAATTAAAGAAAAACAGTTGTAATGTACAATTCAGGCAGTCATAGCAGCAAAACCCGGCAAATTTGGTCACCTAATACTATCTGATTGATTATTTTTAATACTTTTACTAAAAGTCAATCGGTTTGTAGTACGTTTACTTCAAAATTCTCAATAATTTGCTATCTTGGAATAGGGATATTTGAGTCCGTAAGGTATCGCTACTGGTACGTTTTAGTATTAGTGACATCTCAGGTCAAACGTCGAAGATATATTTTAAAATGTGCCATGGATTTGAATTTATAAACTTATACTCACCGATTCTTTATCATGTGAATCTGCTTTTTCGGGCCCCTTTTTTGATTTAATCGTGAGCCGGAATGATTTTACATTAAAGACTGAAATTATTGATTAGATTGAGTGGAAAAGTACTATTATCTTATTTCTTTTATGACAGGTAACGAGATCTTAAAGCGATACAGTATGTTCATTTCTACATGCTAGAATTCCAGAGAAGTGCATGAGCAATGAACATGGCATTTTAATGAATAGCTCATGAAGAATCTGTATTATTGTGTAATAAAGAACTCATAATGACGCCATGATTTGTAATGTCCTACACCTAAATAAGAAGCAACATTTTCATTCACTCACTATCACGAATCAAATTTATCGGGGAAAGGAAGTATAGTCACCATGACAATAATTCTCTGAATATAAAATATTTTGCCTCTATTTAATACTGCTCAGACACCTTGATGGATTTCTTTCACCTCACAAATTTATTATGTACTGGCCACTGAGTAGAATCCAACCGTATTTGCATCTTTTAAACTATACAGATTAAGGCAAGTCTGCCATCTTTCCATGATGCAAAACATAATTAAATCGTTTCGTTTTTTGGACCAAAACTAACAGTACTGCAGGTAAAGTTGAAGACAGCACCTTGTATTTTCTCTGGAATTTATCACGATATTGAAGAAGAAAAAAAATGAGCAAACCGTTTTCCGAAATGAATGAAAGAACAATTATACCACTTTAGGATATTATTTTTTAATTGATAAATCGTATTTTCAGCCCGATTGAACCAATAGTTTTTAACTTTTTCATGTCTAAGTTAATTTCAAAGAATGTTTAAATTAGGGATGGTGCACATATATCACTATGCATTTATGCATAAATAGTGCAAAATCCACGAATACTATAAATTGGTGGATTAAATTTATTCTTGACCTTTGACCGTCGACCTTTGATGATGTCATCAAAATTTAAAAGTGACAAAAGATTACAGCATCTTAAAGAACAGAGTTTTTCAATTTCAAACACTCTTAGGACTTCAAGGGAAACTTTAAAAATTACTAACGTTCTTTTGAACTTGTATCAAATTCACTTTTGCATTCAAATAAAGAATCTGAGAAAATTAGTTAACATTTTGTCAGACTGACCAGGTTTCAAAAACAAAATATTTGTATTTTTAAATCATGTTGTGCCTTCAACTGATAAATTTGCGACCTATTGAATTTGATATTCTAAGATCTCTTCTTAAGTTCAGCTTACTACAATTAATTATTAATTTTTAAAATGTGTGCACATGTCCACTTTCAAAATTATATTCGTCATCATCTCCGTAAATATGTGAATGAAAACATTATCTTAAAATTATGTGTACAATTTTAGAATATGATCAGCTATGTACATAATCTACACAAAATCTACTTGTTTGACGTTTAATTAGAGTTTGGACTTGAATCAACAAGAACGCGAGGATGGGTGTGGTGAGATACTATTTTTATGCGTTTTACATATAATCCTCTCCACCATTAGCAATGTCGAGTAAAATGTTGCATCCTGATTCGACATTCTCATGAACAACAATTGGATTTGTTGCCATGGTTGTGGTAGGTGGATGTAGATGACGTAGCTGTATGCAAATAAACAAAGAATATTCCTTGACAAGGTGTCTATTGGAATGCGATAATATTTTCGACGATGGTACCCATTCGCTTAGAACAAGTTGGCAATAATTCATATTAAACTGTATACAATGAATATTATTATGAAGTTTATCTGATTCAGTGCAGAGTTATTATTATTATTATTATTATTATTATTATTATTATTATTATTATTATTATTATTATTATTATTATTATTATTATTATTATTTTACACATTAACTTGCTTTAGATATTCAAATAGTGAATCGTCGAAATGTTGACAATGGAATTTAAACAAATCTAAATTCAGTACGATTTACACGTAGAGAGAAAGTAGAAAAAAATATTTGAATGGTTTTATCTGTTACGTATTGTTTGGGAGTTTTGTACTGCACGACATACAAGGATGTGATGTGATGAGATTATGATATTTAACGTAGCTTTAACAATTTTTCAGTCATATCGCTACGATGTCTGCAGTGTGACAGTTTATAGAGATGTCTAGCACTAGTGCATCATGCTGGAGACATGTAGCATTATGTCCCACCCAGTCACATTATCCTGACACAAGGCCGACCAGTCCTAACACCAACCTCTTAAAGCTGAGCACCAAGCGAGGAAGCTGTTAGTACCATTTTTATAAGTCTTTGGTATGACTCGACCGGGGATCGAACCCACGACCTCCTGCATCCGAGGCAAACGCTTTAACCACTAGGCCACCAGAGCGGTTGACCTACAAGGAATAGGGGTTTATAGATAAAATGTACAGTCTGTGGATTATTCTCCTTTCAAGGGAATTTATGAAAATTCTGACAAACATGATCGAAAACAGTGGCAAAAGATAGTTACAGGAAGAAACAGGATCAGTTTATACAGAAATCACTGAAAGACAGCGTTGGATATAGCTCCCATGGCAACAATAAATACTTCATAATGAATCCTGAAACTTGGTCCCACTTTTTTCTAACATCAACCATTAAATCCGAGACAGACTCAAATTCTTTTGATCATTTTTATGTGTATATACTTATTTGGAAATAATAACAAATAAATCCGCGAAAAATACAGCATTATTAACTCTGAAAGAATTAATTTATGTTAAATAGTAAGCTCATTTTTAATGCGTCCAGTCCATAAAAGTAATTATTACGACCAACATAATAATTTGTTTAAGTTAGAGAGAGAGAGAGAGAGAGAGAGAGAGAGAGAGAGAGAGAGAGAGAGAGAGAGAGAGAGAGAGAGAGAGAGAGAGAGAGAGAGAGAGAGAGAGATTCTCGCTGTTTGATTCCGTTTTGAGGTGACATAAAAGCTTAATGTCCGTATTTGCATAATGGGTAATTCTGCGAAACTTTAGTCCAGTGCGGATACATCTGATGGATATTTGTCAAAAATTAGGGTGCCAATACAAACAGAAGTTTACATCATCCACCATCCATTACACAAGTACTATGCCTAATTCTAGCTCATCTTTTCCACCTTGTTGACACAGAGCTGGAAGTCATCGCAAATATCAGACACCTTTTATTTTTTTTTAATAATATTCCAGGGATAATTCAGGATACCAAATCTCTATTTTCAGCTATTCCGCGTCGCGAAGCACCGTTATTATCAAACATCATCTTCCCCTATCAGTTAGTGCTAATATAGTTCAAACCGATAGAAAGACACACGGACGACGGATGGACGAACATAATCCATACAAATATAAATTTCAACAATTGTCAGCAGCTATAGGAAAAAAGCAGGCGATCATTGTATCTGAACAGTTCTTTAAGTGTACAATGTTTTATTAGAAGTGTTAGACTAGTGATTAAGGCTAACAAATAAATATTTTCCTTGCCTTTTATCCGTCTTGACACACGCTATGATCATATAATGACACCCAGTTTTAGCAGTACACGGTTCTCCTCGATACTCGATAAATGGGAAGTAAATTCCAGCTCCATAAACCTATAGAAAAACGAAATACGAGTACAAAAGTTTACAAAATAATGTCCTGGGACATGTAATTTATTTTGTTTCCTGGATATTTGTCACACATTCCATATGTATACATAACCAGAAGCAGTCCATTTTGACACTGATTTGGATGTGTAGTCACCACGAGAAAGATGTTATATATCAAACGTTAATGAATACAAAAGGATGTCTGGCAAATTTCAAATATTAATGAATAAAACGGATGTCAGGCATATGTCAAACGTTAATGAATACCTAAGGATGCCAGACACATTTGAGATACCATACATATAACAAACGTTAATGAATACAAATGGAAGTCATACATATACCAAATGACCTAAGGAGGTCAGACACGAGTCAAGAAAATTAAATCTCAATGTGTTTTCTTTAATATTACTGACTTTATTTTTAAGTTTTTAATCCTTGAGCACTGTTTATTATTATTATTATTAATTATTATTATTATTATTATTATTATTATTATTATTATTATTATTATTATTATTATTATTATTATTATTATTATTATTATTATTATTATTAGTATTAGTAGTAGTAGCAGTGGTAGTAGCAGTAATTGTGGTAGCAGTAGTGAGTTGTAGTAGTTGTATTAGTAGTATCCGCAAAGAATTGAATGTTTTCTCCCCCCCAATCATTTGACTACTATATATATATATATATATATATATATATATATATATATATATATATATATATATATATATATATATATATATCGTGACCTTTTCTCACAAAGAGCCCAACCCTTCTTTATTCTTTGTAGTCGCGCACCTGAAACAATTATATCTCTACATTAATATAGTTCTCACACTGAATCACATATCATTCGAATGTTCTTTTCTATATTTTACCTGGTGCATAATGCGTGTGCTTTGTATTTTGTTGCAGGAAAGGATATGCTGTCTTGAAAGAACGTGTACCTACCCCAGTCGTTTTTCTAGTTTATGCAATAAAATATGATTGAATCCAAACACATCAACAGCCATGCATATTATTATTATTATTATTATTGAATATAATTGTTAGGGCAAACAAACGAAAATATTAAGAACTAGACATTTCCAGTTTATAGTTAGCTTTACACGCGATTCGAGATTTTTCACAGATAGGATTTACATGACAATTCACAACACTTTTTGTTGTGAAACTGCAGAAATGATTGTCATCTTATGACCAAGTCATGTTGTAATTAAACAAGTCATGTTGTAATTAAACAAGTCATGTTGTAATTAAACAAGTCATGTTGTAATTAAACAAGTCATGTTGTAATTAAACAAGTCATGTTGTAATTAAACACACTGAATGATTTTTCTGCCAGCAGCTACTTAAATTTCCAACTAAAATTTACAAGTGAATTGCAATAAATAAAAAGAAAAAACAAAACAAAAACAGTAAAGATATGAAATAGAAATGTGTGGCGAAGATTCACTCAAGAAATATAAAAATATATACTTTATTTAATATTTTAGAGTGTTGACACGGGGTTGGGTTACTTTTTACCAATGCGGCCAGAAATTATGTCATGATTAACAAAGAAAACTGTTCTGGCTTGTACATATTTATGTTGTGAATTAATTTACATTGTATAAAATCGTGTGCATTTATTGTCTGAATTAATACGTTGTTTTCTCTAAACGCAATTAAAGCATGAAAATATATTGCTGAGGAAACAAAGGCCAATAAAGTGACATCAATTTTGACGTATAGGAAAATAAGAATAAAAGCGACCAATACATATCAACGGCATACGACTTGTTTCATATCAGTCATGACATGCTTTATAACAATGAAATTTTGAAGAAAAAGGACACGAGGGTTAAGATGACCGACAACTCGTAATGAACTGGCTTGAAACTAAACCTGACCTCGCCCTCACATAGCTGTATAAACACAATTTACATATACCACTTGATCTCAAAAATGCAACTACTGTATTTGAAAAGTTGAGCAGCTGACAAAAGAAAATAAGCAAATAATGTAGAGCAATCCATAAATAGTTATTCTTCACTGTTGACAAGTCTACTTTTTTAAAAATAGAATTGGAAATTGTGAAAACATTTTAAATCGGTGTTATTTTCTTATCGCGGTTTTTCTTGGCCACGCCTTTTTTCGTCTATGGTAGTCTTTTGAGACGTAAAAGAAGGAATACCGTCCGGCATGTGGCAGGACAAAATAAGACTGTCAGTATGAGATCGAATTAAGAATGTTACTTTGTATAATGTTAAGAAGTAGTATGTGTCTGTTTCAGATGGGAAAAATGCAGATCATAAAGTAACATGAAAGTTTATTCTGCTTTAGAGTAAACAGTTACAAATGTAATATTATAATTTTACAACACATCTCATGACATCCAGACAAATGGAGAATTTAGCCTATAATGTAAAAACGCGCTGCTTTCTTTGTAAGCATATAGCATTTGAAATATTCTCATTTCCAGTTTTTCAAAATCCATTCTGAAACATACGGACAATGTTCTTACCTTCGAAATAGCCAAAAACCAGAATAAAAGGCAATTGCCTGCAAGATGTGTGAAAACCATGTTTTTGCTTCAAGTGCAGTGCAAAGCTCTTTTTCTTGGCTCAGTCAAGATGTTTTTCATCTGGTCTAATATATCCAACCAAAGTCATTTATTGATTCATTTTTAATCTCTCACACCCATAAACCTGGCTCACGAAGCGGTCGTATCGGGCCTAGTGAAGTGCTGATAGCACTTTCACCTGCACAAACCGCAACACACCCAGTGATGCTGTTATGCGTGACATGAGGGCAGCTTTAGAGGGAATACAACAAAATTTAATTCTAAATGATTGGAAAACAATGTCAAACTTTGCGTAGTTGCCCTCAAATCAAGGAGTTTGATTGGCCGATATTTTATTGCATACAGACAGGCTATTTGTAGCTCCTATTAAAGTTCTTCTTTCTGGCAACTTGTTTACGTTTCCCAATGTTTTTCTATGACGATAATATTAAAAATGGTATAGAAAATTAAGTGGAACACAAAACCATAGATAGAAAATATATTCAGTCCGTTTTACTTGAAAAAATGCTGTTTTTTATTTTAAAATTAAATTTAACATCATTTGGCATGAACCTCGAAAGTCTGAAAGTAATTTAACAATGAAAACTTCTGCTTATGAGATATTTCTAAATGCCAAGGAAACCGTCATTTTGTAATGGAATGCTTGAAATTATGTTACTGAAAAAATGTATTTAATCATAATCTCTGGTTCGTAATGGTAATATGGTACATAATTCTTAAGCAAATGAATGTGACATCAATCATCACAAAAAAACATCTATACCAAATTCATAAAAGGGTTTGACTTATTTTTGACAGTGACAAATATAAAATACGACGGGTATTTAAACAATTCTAAATATTTGTTTTAACTTTTCTTTGGAGCCTGTAAATAAATTGAAATGCCATCCGATAGACAAAAAATTCAATATTATTGATCCGCAGCATTACGAGTGGCACAATAGATTTCTGCAGATATAAGTATGTGACACAACAAATGTAAACGAGCGTACTTTCTGACTGACACCAGGGCCGACTTGGATGCAGTACTCTGTCATATCGTATAATTAAGAGGTGACTGTATGTCATGCGTTCTGGCAGGCAATTGTCTGCGATTGGTGAGCGGAAAGTGGGTGCTGTTAAGAGGGATATCGGTGAATATTCTCATTATAGAGTAGAAGATATTTCTATTATCAAGTGCATTTATTCGTTTTAATATGTTGACA